ACACCACAGCAGTGGGCAACGAGCTTAAAGCCCCTGATGGCTCTGGGCGCTGACTCTCACCAGTGGCTATGGATGAAGTCACAGGCGATTTTCAGCCAGCGCCGGGCATTTTCCTGTTTTAAGAACTCTCTGTGTAGGATCAAAGTGGCAGCAGTAGAAAGATTAGATCAGAACCTTAAAGGAAAGTGAGTTTATGCTAATGAAGAGAATCAACTCCAAAAAGGAGTTAGAGGTTATTATCTATGTCACTGAATTGTACACATAGAAACAGTTAAATTGGTCGTCAGTATGAAGCGGCCGAAGTTAAAGAAAGCGAGTAAACGCATGACCTGCCATAAGAGGTATAAAATAAAAAAAAAAGGTGCGAGAACATCATCGGAAATTGAGGAAGCAAGCAAAAAAACAGGGTCACAAGAAGCCTAGGAAAGATCCAGGTGTTCCAAACAGCGCTCCCTTTAAAGAAGCACTTCTCCGGGAAGCTGAGCTAAGAAAACAGCGACTTGAAGAACTAAGACAACAGCAGAAGCTTGACAGACAGAAGGAACTAGAGAAGAGAAGAAACCTTGCAAGTGACCCTAGTGTTAAGCCATCTAATGAGGAACTTGTGAAGGAGAAGGAATGTGAACAAAGCAAAGCAAAGGATAAAGCCAAGTCGGTAAACGGAATCCGAAGACCATATATTGTCAAGAGCTGAAAAAGGTGATTGAAGCCTCAGATGTTGTACTAGAAGTGTTAGATGCCAGAGATCCTCTTGGTAGCAGATGTCCACAGGTAGAAGAGGTTGTTGTCAACAGTGGACAGAAAAGGCTGGTACTCGTGTTAAATAAGTCAGATCTGGTACCAAAAGAGAATTTGGAGAGCTGGCTAAATTATTTGGAGAAAGAATTGCCAACCGTGGTGTTCAGATCCTCAACGAAGTTGAAGGACAAAGGAAAGCTAATCCAGGTAAAGAAGAAAGCTGCTCCCTACAGAAGTGAAGTCTGCTTTGGTATAGACGGCCTTATGAAGCTGCTTCGAGGATTTCAGGAGACATGTGGCAAAGCTATTTGCGTTGGTGTGATTTGTTTCCCAAATGTGGGTAAAAGCAGCATCATTAATAGTTTAAAACAAGAACGGGCATGCAATGTTGGTATAGCCATGGGCCTTACAAGGAATATGCAGACAAACAGATCACAATCATAGACAGTCCTACTGTTATCGTGTCTCCACTTAACTCTGCTACTGCACTTGCTGTAAGAAGTCAAGCAAGTATTGAAGTAATAAAACCAGTGGAAGCTGCCAGTGCCATCCTGTCTCAGGCTGACAAACGACAGGTAGTATTGAAATTTACCATCCCAGACTATAAGAATCCTCTGGACTTTTTTACCTCACTTGCTCGGAGAAGAGGACTACACCAAAAAGGTGGAAGCCCAAATGTAGAAGGTGCTGCCAAGTTGCTGTGGTCTCAGTGGACAGGTGCTACCTTAGGCTACTATTGCCAGCCTCCAACATCCTGGACTTGTTCTTCTCATTTTAATGAATGTACAGTAGCAAATATGAAGTTGGGCTTGAATATGGAAGAACTGGGAAAGAACAATGCACATAGCATACAAGCCATTAAGGGGCCTTGCTTAGCCAATAGCATCCTTTTTCAAGCTTCGGGTTTCACAAATGGAATCATAGAAGAAAAAGATTTACCTCAGGACTTGCCAAAACCAAGAGAGGGGAAGCAGGAGGAAGAGGAGGGCATGGACAGTGATCCAGAGAGTCTTGATGGCGAAGACACTGTTGAAGAGAGCTCAGATAGAGCTCCTGTAGAGGAGACATGGGAAGCCATGCCTGAGGAGTGTCGAGCTGGTGAGCAACAGCCAGTCAGTCAAGTAGCAGGATCTTTTGCACTAGTTAAAGTGACTGAAGAGGATGATGCTTATGACTTCAGTACAGACTATGTATGATAAAACCTTGTTTTCTGTGAGGTCTTTTGAGCATTCTGCTAACCTCTTATATACCATGTTTGTTAAAGTAAGTCATAATTCTGTAAATATGTATTATAATTCATTAAAGAGTCAGTTTGGAGAAAAAAAAAAGAAAGAGTTAAATTGGTGCACTACCTCCCAGTAACAGCATTTTTTTTTAAAAAAGCAAATAACTTTTCACAATAAAGCATTTTTTATTCTATTGTTTATGACTTTGTGTCAAACATAAAAAGAATCAGAGCCATTTATCACTAGTTCTAATTTCTGTAAAATACCCACACTCACTCTTGGTAAGGCTTGAGCTAGGTTCACAGGAAGCAAGCTGTAATGAACATCGAGTATTGAGAGGTTGCCATGCTGCTTCCTGATGTCCTGATGACCAGTCACTGACCCAAACCAGTAACCCTGGGTCATTGGGTAAGATTGCAGATTTCTGCCTGGTGTTTGATGATTTTAATCTTGTTCCTCTTTTAAGACTGCTGAAAACCAAAATTTTTTGCAGAAACTGCCAGCCAGGGCTAAATGTGCTGCATATGCTTCCCTCTATTGTCACCTAGTTGTTCTTTGAAAAAAAGAGGCCTTGGATTTTAGGGAGTGGACAGGCTGTAGATTGTCATGTAACTGATAAATACAAACTTGATCAAAGATACACCTTGGTGCTGGGGCTGCTAGACTCTTGCCCCTTAAGGTTAAACTTTGCTGTTTAGTAATAATGAATTTATTATATAATTTCAGATTGATGAGTGTGAAAAGAAAAAGAGAGAAGAATATGAAAGTCAGAGCAATCCTGTTTTCAGGAGATACTTAAATAAGATTTTAATTGAAACTGGAAAGCTTGGACTTGTGAGTATTTGATGGTGGGATACTAATTTGTGTGGTGGATATTTTATTCATTTCAAATCATACAGAGCAGTGATGCAGCATGATTAAAACAAGCAGAGCCTACTTGTTTTACCTTTCTGACCCAAACCTAATCATGCAGGATTAAGAACAGCCTGCCTTCCAGTGGTTTGGTGTGATTTACACTCTCATTATAGTGCACAACCTGCCACTTCATTGACTTGGAGGCTTATTTGAAATTTTCCAATTAGAGCTTCTCTAGACCGTTTGAGGCCATGACTTGGTTGGGGAATTCTGTCCTGACCTTACTCTCTTGTTTTCCGTCGTTTCCGTGGTTCTGTGAGGGAGCACTGGTGGACGGTAAGGTGAGTGTTGGGCTGTGAGCTGAAAGGCCAGCAGTTTGACCCTCCCAACTGCTTCACAGGAGAAGGTGACAGTCTTCTCCTGCTATGATTTACAGCCTTGAAAACACACTAGAGGGTCACCTGGAGTCAGAATTGACTTGATGGGACAGTAGGTCTTAGGATATATAGTCAGAGGATAGATGTTGAGGAGAAAATTGTGTTTCAAGTTGTTTTTCCCCCTTGCACTCGATGGTGGTAAGTGCGATCGTGTGCGTGTTGTTCAGACTACCCACTGCTGCAGAGTGCATTGACTCACAATGACCCTAGAGGGCAGAGCAGAGCCACGCGGGCCTGTAGTGTCTCTAAGGCTAGTCAAAATGCTGACTACCCCATCTTCATGCTGAAAAACATCTGTGGTGAGATCAGATGGCCAGCCTTTCAGTTTGTAGCCATTTCTTGAACCTAGGTAGAGCACCTTGTATTGTTTCTACTCAGTGTTAAAATTTCCATTTATATTAGAGTCATGGCTTTCATTTTGGGGAGTCAGAATATCAAGAAAGCTTTTAATTTAGTAACTTGTAGTTTATGCTCTTTATTAAACCCATTTGAAAGCACGTACACATTCTCTCCTGTGTGCGTGCCACCAGGATTAATCTGGTGAACAGGAGGTCAGCCTTTGTGGTTTGGTCTGACCATCCACCCCGGCCTCAAATAGGTCTAGGCAGAACCTGAAAATGTGAAGGGATTTCCAGCAGGACACAGTGGCCAAGCCTACCGGACCCTGTTTTCCTGGGAAAATAAATTTCCCACCTCCTCCAGAAGGGTTAATTGTATGCAAAATAAATGGAAAAGAGCCAGTTTTAAGGATGAAGGAGCATAGGTACCCCAAAATATGTAAGATGGAGTAAACCGAAGCCATTGAGGCAGAGGAAAGGTAAAGATACTTGGAAATGTTTAGCTCATGATTTTAGAAGTGTCTTTTTTTAAAAAAAAAAAATTTATTATTAATTTCAGTAAAAATTTACAGAGACTTTGGATTTCCATTCATTCATTGTTGCACTTTTCTCCCTTCCCAACCCTCCCCTTAGTACACTACCCTCTTGGAAAAGTAAAAGAAAAATTCTTTCATTGTTTTACAAACCCTCCCCCAGGTCCACTCCACCATGTAGCCTTCACAATAGACACCTGTCATGACAAAATTACCTAATTATATATCCCTTTTAAACAGTTTCTCTCTCATCTGTTTCAATGCAGTATACATTATTGAACCCATCTTTCTCAGTCTCTCCCCAACCCCAAGGTCAGCCCTGTTTTACAACAGTGGCACCATGCAGTATTTGTCCTTTTGTGACTGAGATACTTCACTCAGCATAATGTCCTCCAGGGTCACCCATTTTGAATAATATTGCATGAGTTCCTTGTTTTTCAGTGCAGCATAGTATTCCATTGTGTGAATGAATATACCACAGCTTCTCTATCCATTCGTTTGTTGATGGGCACATAGGTTGTTTCCAACTCGTTCCTATTGTAAACAAAGTCATGATAAACATGGCTGTGCATGTATCTGCTTGGATGTCAGTTATGGTCTCTTTGGGGTATATTCCTAGTAGTGGAATTGCTGGGTCAAATGGTATCTGTATTTGCAACTTTTTGAGAAAGCGCCATACCGCCTTCCACAGTGGTTGCACCATTTTACATTCCCACCAACAGTGAATAAGGGTTCCAGTTTCTCCACAGCCTCGCCAGCATTGTTGCTTGTTGTTCTGTTAAATTTTGCTATTCTTCCTGGGGTGAGGTGATATCTCATAGTTGTTTTAATTTGCATCTCTCTTAGAGCTAGGGATTTTGAACATTTCTTCATGTGCTCGTTAACCATCTGAATGTCTTCCTCGGTGAAGTGTGTTCATATCCTGTGCTCATTTTTCTATTGGATTATTTACCTTTATCTTGTTGTGGTGCTCAAGTATTTTATAAATTCTGGATATAAGTTCCTTATCTCATATGTCATTACCAAATACTTTTTCCCGGTCTGTGGCTTCTCTTTTTACCCTGGTGGAGAAGTTTTTGGATGTGCATAGGGATTTGATTCTTAGAAGATCCCATTCATCTGCTTTATCATCTCCTGGTTGTAGGTAGAAGTGTCTTAATGTTAGTTAAAGACTACTTTTTATGATTGCTGATGGTTTGACCACTTTGGTGGGTTTTTTATATTTACATTTTATATAAATATCTTTATATTATTTTAAAAATACTGTTGTATAAACTGATTAGTGACTGTAAAGTATTGATTAATGTGATTTTGCAAAGTTAAACTCATACCAGTAAAAAGTTTAAATATGCATATTCATGGAAACCTATGTTTTACTACCTTTATGATATTCTTTATTTTTCTTGTTTGTATTACTGTACATTTTATGCTTTCTGAGAGCAGTGTCAATAAATGGAAAGTAGTAACTTTGCATTAAATTTCTAGTATCTTTTTTGCAGGAAGGTTTCCAGTTTTAAAAATGCTTTTCTTATATATTGTTGACTTTTATATCAGCTTCTGAGATAGACAGCAGAATAGTACATTGCTCACTTATAAACTGTTCCATTAACAGATCTTTCATATCTATAACAATAATAAATAATCTGTTCAACTATTTTGTGTATGAATGGTGAGTGTGTCTCACAGTCGCAAGCACTGAGGTGTAAAGTGAGCCTAACGGTGCCTGTGATGGTTACGATTATGTATCAACTTGGCTGGGCCTCCTGTGGCAGATACATGAGGTAGTCATCTTCCATTTTCATGTAACAACCTGGTGGGTCTTTGGATCCTGGCCATGTCCATAAGTGAGGAGTGGGTTTAATGTGCATGAAATATTGCAAATTAATTATTTAGTTCAGAGTAACTTTTACTTGAAAATGTTTCCCTGATTAATGATAAAATTCCATTTTTCTCTTGTTTTGGTGAAATTGGTTCAGCCTGATGAGAACAATGGAGATATGCATTTTGATGCTGAGATTATCCTGAAAAGACAGACCCTATTAGAAATACAGAAGTTTCTCAATGGAGAAGACTGGAAGTCTGGAGCCTTGGATGATGCACTAAGTGATATTTTGATTAATTTTAAGTTTCATAATTTTGAAACGTGGAAGTGGCGATTTGAAGATTTTTTTGGAGTGGATCCTTATGATGTGTTAATGGTAAAGTTGGATGAGGGGGTGTGATTACATGGCCTTTATAAAAAGTCTTTCAAAAAACTCTTATCATAGTTATGTTAAGGACCTGTGTTAAGTCTATTATGTTGCGTTGAGGAACATGCACTACAGTTGTGTGTTTCTGGCCCAGTTCTTTTGTCTGCACTGACCACTGGCATTCCCTGTAGGTGGGGCAGCGTGGTGGTGCCTCTGACTCCTGCTTTCTGCTCTCCAGGTCCTCCTGTGTCTGCTCTGCATTGTGATGCTCGTGGCTACCGAGCTGTGGACGTATGTTCAGTGGTACACCCAAGTGAAACGTATTCTAGTCATCAGTTTTCTGATCAGTTTGGGATGGAATTGGATATATTTATACAAGGTATTTAATAGGTTTTACGTTTCACAGTGTTGATTATTCATCATGCATAATAAAATACAGCTTTAATCCATTTAAAAGAGTCTTTCATCAAGTTCCGTTTGGGGGCAGTGATTAGTGGCGGGAAGGGAGGAACATGGTAGCTGTCCAGCTGTGTCTGAAGGTGTGCTGAGGAAGTGTGGTCCTGCTTTTTTACTTTTTGTAATGCAGGTCCTGCCAGACAGCTTCTGGATGTCCAAGAATAGAATTAGATCAAAACATTTTAAAAAATTCTGAAGTTACTGAGTATGAGTTGAGGGGCAGTGGTGGCCGACAATAGCAATGTATAAAAATTAATGGAGACTACTACTACTATTTGTAGTATTCCATGTCAAAATGGCATGTTGTTGTTAAGTTCCGTAGAGTCAGATCCAACCCATAGCCGACCCTCGGTGGGTTTTCAGAGGCAGGCTAAAACACTTGGGAAGAGATTGCCCATCCTTGTCCCATGGAGCAGCTGGTGGATTTGAACCACATGCCTTTGGGATTGCAACACTTCTTCTTGCCACTATGCCACCAGGACATAGTCTTCATTATTCCGAGATGGAACCATTTCTAGAAGAGTAAGCCAGGTAGTCAAATAATTCTCAAATAGCTTATTTCTGTAACTTTTTGCCGTTAAATTCTAGAGTTTCTAGAGTTAATCATTCACAGTTAAACTCCTGGTTTTGACAAGAAATTGGTTCAATTGAATATTGTTAACAGAGGACTTCCCTGTGGTTTTTATATATAAAGTCTGGTTTATAAAAATAATTATCTTCTTTTAGTCATTTGGACTGAAAGCCATTTAGAGCGAAACACTATTTTACCATCAACTATAAAATAATTTCGTTATTTTATGTGTAGCTCTATTTTAGGGCATGAAGTGAACTATATCACAATTTTTTTAAAGCAGTCTTTTCAGTAAAGAGGTTTTCCTTCCATTGTCATAGTTTCATAATTCTCTGTAAAGAAGGCTGTGGTTAGTACTTTTTATCCTTCCTTCTTGCCTGAGTTGAAGAGAGCTACTCTTTAGACATTTATATAAGTGTGAGTATGTGTCTTAAATTTTCTAATAAAATTTCTAATAACTCTGGTGAGGGCATGCATGTGCTAGCCTTGTGTGGAGGTGCAGGTGTAGCTGGCTCGTTTGCAGTCTTTGACGATCCCCTCTGTGTTGATCAGGTAGCATTTGCCCAGCATCAGGCCGAAGTTGCCAAGATGGAGCAGTTCGACAGTGTGTGTGCCGAGAAGATGGATTGGGCTGAAAGCCTTTGGGGTAAGGTGTTTGTTCACTCGACCTTATTTTGAATAGCGTTTCTGGAAAAGAGAGGAAAATTATAGTACCATTGCCCTTTTAACAACATGGTTTGAACTTTGAAGGTCCACATATGCGTGAATTTTGTTGTTGTAAATTGCGGCGCTCTGACGTTGTGAGTACTTAATCACTGTGTGATGCTGAGCATCTCCTCACAAGCGGCTCCTGTTTACAGTACATTTTGTGTCTTAGTAAAAGGTGATTGTTCACACCATCAGTAATACCTGTGCCGTACAAGGGTCAGCTGCAATGGCAATGAAGAGGGGAACGTGCCAGGAGGGGTCTTCATGGCTTTATCTTTGATATCAAAAGATTACGAAAAAGTACTGATTGCTTTGAGCAAATGTTCTAGAAAAGAATCCTGATGATACGAGGAAGAATGCAGAGCCAAATTTCAACTTCTCAGTGGAAGTTGGGCTTTATGGGGCCATTGAGCTAGATGACTCCTTGGAACTAGGGTCCTGAGATAATCTCTAAACCTTTAACCAGAGTTATCTCTTAGAGTCTTCTTTTGAATAGAAAAAAAAAGTTTCTCTTTATAGTCTTACACATTGTACTGATTCATATTATTAGCTGTAAAATGTAGAATTGGCAGTATCAGCTGAGAAGGATGAGAAGCGTTGGGGACAATATGGAGAAAGTTGATAAGAATATTTGTAACTTGAAGAATCCAATTGTTGTCATTGGGTTGCACATGTAGAAATGGTTGTAATGGTCTGTGACTGTACACACACACACACACACACACACACACACACACACACACACACATTTGTATACACTCTCTCTTTTCCATCTCCCACTTCCCCCTGAAAAATGCAAGAAGCAGCTTAGATTTAAGGTGAGTGATTTGTTTTCATGTAAAGTTACAGAGGTGGCCTTGAAATTGCATGCATGCTGCCTGGTTTTACCTGTCGTCCTCTGCGGGACTCTGTGTACTCTCTTAGGTTCACTTGTCCCAACCACAGTGCTGCACATTCTAGGTCCTCAACAGAAGTCTGTCAAAAAAGAGAATGTATGTATTAATTAAGAATTCATTTTGTAAAAAAAATTTAAAAAAAAAGAATTCATTTTGTATTTAGCTTCCTTATATTTAAAACACTATATTTCAATCTATTTTTTTAACTAAGCATAACATTTTAGACTTAGAGTGGTTTTTAAAACAGATTTTGTAAATGTCACATGAATATGGACCTTTATATGTCTATAAGGGAGTCTCTAGGGAGTTGGGCTGCTGACCCAAAGATAGTGCCTCTCAGGTGGTTCAGGTCCACCCCCGGCTCCATGGGAGAAAGATGAGAAAGATCTTCCTGTTGTGTTTACAGCCTCCCAGAAACCCTGCTGGAGGGTCGGCTCTGAGTTAGGTCTGCCTGATGACAGAGATACTGTTCATGCATAGCCATACCAATGGGTTAGCATTCAAAGACCATTTCTAATCATAAGTCTACAATGACTGATCTAGAGTAGAAGCCTAGCGGAATCTACAAGTAGAGTTTTCAGAATTAATAGTCTTGTAATGGGAAGGAACAACACTAACACTAGTCTAGACTTTCCCCCTGGGTTTAATAGGTCAATGAGAAATACCTCCTCTCGTTTGGACTAGCATAGATAAGTTGGGATTTTGAAAAATCAGACCAGTTAATACTGTGTTTTCTTCATCTTGTGAAATCAATTAAGAATGGGATATTTAGGTGAAATTATATTGAGTTCATTGTATATTCACAGGTAGTTGTGAGAAAGAATAGATTATCATAACCCATTTATGTATCTTTGAACCAGTAGTGACATCTTGCTCAACTGTATTGATAAAATGTCCTAACTAGAACACTGACTTTGACATACTCCATCAGTCTTGCTTTTATACTCATTTATATATATGAAGACTGGTTTTAATTATTTGACTACGTTTTCAGTAGACTTCCTAAGGTCGTTCATCTGCCTTAAGTCTTGCATAATTTGAATAGATTTTTGAAAGAAGTGTCATTTGATACATAAAATTAAAAAATATTAGACTTAGTGTTTATAAAACTAATTAATTAGTTGTTGGGAGAAAAGGAATAAAACCCAAATATCATCTTATGTAGAAATGAAATGCAACTTTTAAAAAAGTGATTCAATATTTTATGTTTGTTTCTCTAAATAGAATGGTTTAGAAGTAAATGGACCTTCCAAGACGATCCATGCCAAAAATACCACGAGCTCCTACTAGTCAACCCTGTTTTGTTGGTTCCACCAACAAAGGTATAGAATAAATTTTGTAAAAATTACTTCTGCATAGTAAAAAAAAAATCCTGCATGTTTTTTAAAAATACAGTTTTTTAGAGTAAATAATATACCTTTTTTTTCCTAGTGAAAAATATTTGAACTGCACATTGCTTTTTCACATAAAAACCTTTTAATTTAACATACTTTTGACTCAGTGACAATGAATTTTCATTTTATGTGCTTAAATCCTTTGAGGGAAAATTACATTACTACTACTCTTTTGTTTTAGGTAATGGCAGTAACATTTACCAACTTTGTAACGGAACCATTGAAGCACATTGGGAAAGGTACTGGTGAATTTATTCAAGCACTTATGAAGGAGATTCCAGTGTTGCTGCACATTCCAGTGCTGATAATTATGGCATTAGCTGTCCTGGTTAGTATATATAGCACAATTGACATTTAAATAGGACTTACAGGGCAAAGAATGTGTTTACTAGGTTTCTTTGATGCTGTAAATCAGGCTAAATCATGCTTCTTGCTTTACGGTATAAGAAGAGAGTCTCTGAAGTGATACAGAGCTCTGATGGTTTAATACATGAACTGTTGGGCTGCTAACTGAAAGGCTGTTGGGATCCAGTGTCATTCTCAAGAGACAGCTGGGCAGTCTCCTCTACAGCCCTCATAAGAAATCTCATGGAGGGTCACCATGAGTCAGGGTAACAGTTGCCTTTGGTTTTCATACCCAAGTGTTTAGGAGGCTCTGGAGGAGCTCTCGTGACCTAGTGGCAAGAAGCTTTGCTACAGTCCCAAAGGCATGCAGTTTGAGTCCGCCAGGGGCTCCACAAGAGAAGGATGGGCAGTCTCCTGCCATGTGATTTACAGCCTCTGAAAACCCACCAGAGGATCAGCTGTGGGTCAGTTCTGACTCAGTGGTACACAACAACAGTGGTGCAGTAGGGAGCTCGGGTGGCCTAGTCGTCGGTCACGAGCGACACTGCCAACCAGAAGGCACACAGTTCAAATCCAGCAGATGCTCTGCAGGAGAAAGGTGAGCAGTCTCCTCCTGTGCATTTATTACTTCTGAACACCTGCTGGAGGGCCAGCTGTGGGTCAATGCCGGATGGTACGTAACATGATGCCGTGAGGAAGTAATTCTGAAGAATAGCTGATACCTTGGAATTGTGATGTGGTCAGATATATTAACTGAACCATAGCTGACCCTCTAGCAGGTTTTTGGAGGTAATAAATTTCATGGGAGGAAGTTGCCCATCTTTCTCCCATGTGGCAACTGGTGGACTCAAACTGTGTACTTTTGGTATTGCAGTGTAGCTTCTTAACCACTAGGCCACCAGAGCCTCTGTGTACCATAGACTGCCAAAAGAACAAAGAAGTCTGTCTTGGAGAAAGCACAATCAAGGTGCTCCTTAGAGGTGAGGCGAAACTTGGTCTCACCTACTTTGCACATGTTGTTAGACAGGGCCAGTCCTTGGAAAAAGGCCTGGTAGTGGGATTGACACGGCGACTCCAACAATGGATTTGAGCATGGAGGAGATCCTGAGGATGGGGCAGGATAGGCCAGAGTTGTTATCTTTTTTTTTTTTTTTTTAATTTTTTATTTTTGTGTGAGTGTACCGTCAAATCAGATCTGACTGGTACAGGAGGAGATTGTCCCTCCTTTTCCCGGCAGAGCATCTGGTGGATTCGAACCGTGTGCCTCTGGGATTGTAGTTGCAGCTCCTTGCCACTAGACCACCAGAGCTCCCCTAGAGTTGTTATCTTGAACTTACTGATTTTGTAGCTCTATTTGGGTTTGTTTTTTTAAATTTTTATTTTATTATTTTGTGTGTGTACCATCAAACTGGACCTGACTGGTACAGGATGAGATTGCCTCTCCTTTTCCATCAGAGCATCTGGTGGATTCGAACCGCTTACCTCTGGGTGTTTTGAGTTTTTATATGTGGGGTTTTTTTTTTACTATTTGTTTATTTGTGCACACTTTCCTTCCTCTGCCCCTCCCCCATTTCCTTTTGTAAGACTTAATTGCCACACACGCTTTCTAATCAGCATTCCTTCTGAATGCCCTTCCTTTCACTCATTCCGGTGCACTCTTCAGTATCTATCCATTCTCTTCCTGCTCCACTGCCTTCCCCAGCCCCATCCTCTTATAATAATGGGCTTTTGAAGTATTTCTCCCTTTGTCACTGAGATGTTTCATTCAGCCTAATAGCCTCCAGACTCCTCCACATTGAGTGGTGTTTTACGAGCTCATTATTTTTAATTGCTGTATAGTATTCCACCCTGTGAGAATGTGCCATAGTTCTCTGTCTGTTCAGTTGATGGGCACCTGGATTGTTATAATTTCTTTGTTATTGTGAGTAATGCACACATGGATGTGCATATATCTGTTTGGATCAAGTTCTGCTTTCTTTGGTGTATATTCCTAATGGAATAGCTGGGTGATATGCTAATTTCTGTTTCAGGGCAGGGTTTTGATCTCTTGTTTATAAGGTTGCTAAGAGCTATTGAGGGGGTAGACTAGGTGGGACCCCTGAGATTATGGCCCTTAGTCACAGCTCAAGCCTGGAATGGAATTTACCCATATGACTCAATTTTCAGCCAATATTCTAGATAGATCTAGAAAGTGAACATTAATACCCAGGAGGTACACATTCCTTCAGTCAGCCTTCCAGAGACTAAGTTCAGAGGCAAGAGGTGATAGGAAAGAAGGAAAAAAGGAAGTACAGGGTCGAAAGGGCTGAGAGCTCTTCTGTTATAGGGATTGCAGTCAGTGGCTTGAAACAAAATATGTATCAATTGTGAATGGAAATCAAATTAGCTCTACAAACTTTGACCCAAACTACATTCAAAGGTTCATGTGTACCAGATGCTCTGCTGGAAAAGGAGGGATAATCTCCTTCTGTACCAGTCAGATCGAATTTGATGGTATACACACATAGACACACACACACAAGTTCATGTGTGTATATATGAGTGTATGTATGTGTGTGTGTGTGTGTATTATGTATGTATGTATGTATATTATGTTGTTCTATACTATTGAGTCTGAATTGACTCATAGCTGACCCTCTAGCAGGTTATCAGCGGCAGCTATCACAGAGGAGATTTTCCGTCTGTCTCTCCTTGAGCAGCTCTGAAGCTCCACAGGAGAGGGATGCAGAGTCCTCTCGCATGATTAACTGCCTCTGAAAACTTGCTGGAGGGTCAGCTAGAAGTTGATGGTGACTCGTGGCACAATAACGTATATGTTGTTGTGTACCATACAGTCAGAACCGACCCATAGCATGCATATATATCTGTCTATGTATGTATGTATGTATGTATGTACGTACCTACCTACCTACCTACCTACCTTGTGGCCTAGTGGCAAGAAGCTGTGCTGCAATCCCAGAGGCATGTGGTTCAAATCCACCAACTGCTCTGCAGAAGAAGTATGGGCATTCTCCTCCTGTGCAGTCAACTGCCCCTGAAAACCTACCAGAGGGGTCTGCTGTGGGTCGGCACCAACTAGTACACAACAGCGTGTATGTGTGTGTGTGTGTGTGTGTGTGTGTACTCAGAAGAGTGAAAAAGACTGTCTTTGTGTTACGATCTTGCAGATCCTCTGAGTCAGACACCCTCCAGGGGTCCCTGGGCCCTATGTGGCAAACTGTTGCTCCCGTGGAATGTGAGTCAGAACCTAATGAATTTTACCTATAGCAGAATGTTTACATAATTTACAATTTAAATACCTTTCAGCATTTATTATGTATGATGGTTCTGGATAGAGATGTGTACAACAAGCAGAAAACTAGAATCCTCCAGAGTTCTAGGTTTTAGCCTAACGGCCATCCATTTGCTAAACAGGCCTCCGGAAGCACTATGAACTTTGATAAATGTCAGTAGTTGTAGTGGGGCTTCAGCCTTTTGTTCATAGGGTCTCTATGAATCATGCTCAACTGGAAGGCAGTCAACAACAACACAGCAACAACCACCACTGTTATAGCCCAATCAGAATATGTTTAGCTTATTAAAATACTGATTTAAAATCGAGTGATTTCTTAAATTGTGTTGACTTTGTATTAATCTAAAGAAATGTAATGAAAATTACTAAAACCCTCCCACTGTCAAGAAATGAACATGTTGATCTGTTAATACCACAGTAAATAACTTTTGGTAGTTCCTGAATAAACATCTCATTGTGTCTGCCACCAAGCACTCAGGGCACTGGATTTCTTTTCTTTTCAGAGTTTCTGCTATGGTGCTGGAAAGTCTGTTGGTATGCTGAGACATATAGGTGGTCCAGAGAGAGACCATCCCCGGGCACTTCCGCCTGGTGATAGACGACGTTGGGAGGAGATTGATGATAGACCTCGAGGTGGAGCAGGTGATGCAGATTTCTATTATAGGCGCCAGATCGATTCCAGTGAGCGAGGCCCTAATGACAAAGCAGATGAGAGTAGAAGAGATGCTTTGAGAAAGAGAAATGTTCACTTGAGATTTCAGACTGGCAACAAGAGCCCTGAAGTGCTCCGGGCATTTGATTTCCCAGAAGCAGAGACACAAGAACATCCCAAGGTGGTACCCAGTGTAAGTCAGCACCCCTTTATTTGCTGCCCCTTCAAACTAGGCTTAAATGCTTCCCATAGAGCTTTGTGGTTTCTGTTTTCACTCTAAAAAACCTTACCTTCCATTGTGAATTATATCACTAATGATATAATCAGCCATGTGTGCTCCCCTCCTGTTTGGTAAAAAATCCCAAGAAATGAAATGAGATTTCATTTTTCTGTGCAGTAAGTTGTTGGAACAGATAGCATTTCATGTGAAATTTCACAGGAGGTCGACCTCTGAGCATGACCGAAATATCTGTCTGTGTGAAGAGACTCAGGTCCTCCTTGAAGAACCTGCAGTAGAGCCTCTAACGACAGAGGAAGAGGGTGCTCGTGGGGGAGGAGCCAAAATCTTTTTCCACATCGTTTATGTTAATGGCTGCTGTCTGTTGTTGTTATGTGCCGTCAAGTCGTTTGCGACTCATAACGACCCCATGTACAACAGCCCAAATCCTGCTCTATCCTGTGCGAATCGCATTGCCTCTGATGCCTCTGACACACCCATCCCGATTACCCCAGTCACTGAATCAATCCACCTCATAGACGGTCTTCCCCTCCTGCACTGTCCCTCCACCCTACCAAGCATGATGTCCCTCTCCAAGGACCTGTCCCTCCTTACAACATGTCAGACGAAGCCCCAGAATCCTTGCCTCCAAGGAGCAGCCTGGTTTAATCCTCTCTAGGATGAATCTGTTTGTTTTCTTGGCAGTCCATGGTACATTCAATACTCTTCTCCAGCATCACAGCTCAAAGGCGTCAATTCTCCTTCTATCCTCCCTAGTCATTGTCCAACTCTCTCATGCATAACAAGTGATTGCAAAGACCATGGCCTATATCATGGCTGCTGTCTAGACAAATTTTTTTTTACCACTATTAGTTATTTAAATGGACATTTTCATTTCCCATTTGAGAGGAATATTTGTATTGTCACTTGCCAAGTTTAACTTGTACAGTAAATGTTGAGAAATAGTTTGGAGCTCCAAAGAACTGGGAGATAAGAATCCTTCCCCATGGTATTCTTTAGAAGAACAACAAACCTATCTACATGTATCTAGAAAACCAGAAGCTGGTCCTCACAGCTTTACTAGATATAGCGATCTTATCTATACAAGTCCCCAGTGGCTTCTCATTTCTCTTTAAGGAAAAGCCAGTCATCACACCCCACCCCATTCCTCTCCTCCTCTATTCTCTCTTACTTCAGCTGCAAGGACCTCACTAGAATTTGGTCCCTCCAGATGTACACACGGCTCATTTCTTCAGGTCTTTGTAGATTGTCCTAACTTAAACTGCTGTCAGACTTCTCCCCTCTGCCTCTTCTTTCTCCCTTTGCTTCATGGCACTTTTCACTACCCACTAAACTATATCTTATATTTTGTTAATTTGTTTACTGCCTGATTCTCTCCTTAACTAAGAGGGCAGGCCAGTACTCCTGTGGTATCCCTGCACCTAGAACATACATGCAGGAGGTATTTTGTTGGATGGATTTTCACCAGGCGAGAGAAGTTAGCAATACTGGCCACCAGTCCTCTTGACCTTTCCTAGTCTGGGACCTAGACCACCTCTCAAATACTGTGTCCTCTGCAAAGTAATGTCCAGCTTTGTGTGGCTTAAAAATACACAGCTACAGTCCAGGTTTGGCACCAGGACTGGAAAAGGAGTTTGTACAATAGATTTGTATAGAAGAAACATGTTTAACATTTTTTTATTACTAAACCCTTACATTACTTAAATAAAAGAAATACATTTCTCTGTTTTATAGAATAAATCACCAGTTGTGGATATAAAGACAGAGGTTGGTGAGATCCCAGGAGCAACCACGATGACAGAAAGCAGCACTAAAAACAGCCAGCCGACTGAACCTGTCTCTGGCCCGGACACACCAGGGAGTGTGGAAGGTTTGCCCACAGCGGACCAGGCCCCACTCAGGACTGACGTCAGAGGCGGCTGCCCAGCAGGCAGTGCTAGCAGCCCTCAGAAAGTGGGCCCCGCAGCAGGCCGAGGGGACGCGGAGGGCAGTCCGTACGGCTAGGGGAGCGCGGCCTCAGATGGCCACTCGGGTCTTACGTGTGTTTGCCCGTCTGCTCCTCACCACTCCCTCCACTCTGCAACACCAGCCTTCTGATGTTTACTGCAAAGTTGTCGAAACATTACGTCTGCTAACAATCAGGTTTAGCAAAAGTATATATCTAAAAGCTTCCACTTCATTTCATTTCTTTGGTATTGAGACATATCCCACAGTTTTTAAATGCTAAATTTGGAACAGGGCGACACAGAATTTGTTATAAAGTGAACAGCCTCACTGATTGTGGTTGACTGAGACCTGCCAGCTTGAGTTAAAGGATAGTGAAAAAATGTTATTTATAAGCTCTGTAGGAACCAACCAACTAAAGTGCTGCCTCGTGGAATTCTTGTAATAATTTCAGTTAACACAGAATTAGTCAGGCATTGGGTTCAAGAAGTGATTCCAAAAGAACTAAATATTCAAAACATTTGTTAGGAAGGCAGGCCTGCTGTGGTCGTGTTGATGCACTTCAGCATCTTCATGCAGCAAGCGGCAGCAGCAGATTGTGCCAAGACCGTCCACGGTTAGCGTGGGTTCTGTTTCACATCCTCCCTTCAGCTCTCAACACTTGCTACCATTACCAGATCTCCCTCCTCATTAGCTTGTTACTTATCTTTTGATAAGACAGGACTGAAAATTGCCAGTTGTGTCTTATCAAAGGATAAAGTTACAAGCTATTAAGGAAGGAGACCTGATAATGGCAAGGTAACTTACACAGTGCACCTTGTTCAGTAGGTAAAAGACTGAGGATGACCATCCTTTCCCCACCAAGTGAAGTGCACAGGCTCTCTCACCCCTGTTCCTTTCCACTCAGAATCTCAGTAGTTAAGACTTGGAAATAACTGTGTCTAGTTTATATTGTAACAAACTGTTGCCTTAGCTACAGAAGTTGAGCTGGTAGATTCCATACACAGAAGGAGGCCTTAATAAGGAAAACAGAAGGGTGATATAAAGTTTTCTTTTTCTGATTTTAAGCTATTTATATATTGTACCCATTGATAGATGTGTCTTGGAGAAGGTGCAGCTGGAGAGCTCTTTGGAAGCAAGAATGATGAGGCTTTGCCTTACATGCTTTGGGCATGTTGCTAGGAGATGCTTTTCCTTGGAGAGGGCCGTGATGTTGGGGAAAGGTGGAGGGTCAGCAAAGGAGAGGAAGCCCCTCAGCCAGGTAGACTGACAAGGTAACTACCCAAGTGGGCTCTTGTGTGTCAGGAAGTATAAGGATGGCACAGGACAAAACAGGGTTCAGATCTTTTGTTCATAGGGTCACTATGAGTCATATTTGACTCAATGGCACCTAACAATAGCTACAGCACATTCACTTAGCTAAGAGTTAAGTTTCACTTACATTCAGATGGTGGTGGTTTGAACTATATTTACACTAGAAGTTATGTTCAGCTGCTAACTGAAAATTATACCGGTCAGTAATTTATGCAGGTACTTGTTTAGGAAAAAAAAAAAGATGCATTCAAAGCAGTTGCTTTTTGATGTTACACATTAAAGACAAAATACCCTTTCTTTTTGTCTCCCAAAATTGTCACCTGGTCAGTTTTACTAAGTGCCAATTTCACATGTTTAATATACCTTCTAATTTAATACTGCAAATGTTTTCAGTATTTCATTAGAAAAGTAATTCTTCTTTCAAATGATATGAGGATTTTCTATTAATATTTATAACACTATAGGCATGTAACAAATTAATAAAAGGATGCAGTGGGGAACAGATTTATAAGCATGAAAGGAGTTAAAAAAAGTCACTTCCTAGGAAGTAGTGGTCTCTGGAACGACAGACACTCCCCAAGTGGTTGTCCCCGGGGCTGTGACCACATGCTGAAGAGAGGGAAAGCCTCCATCGGTCATCTCTTCGGCACTGACAGTGGGAGTGGAGGCCTGCACTTTCCTTCCATCCCCGACTGCTTCTATTCAATCCAAAATGAATCCCCTCCTTTTAATTTAAATGTCCCCTTTTATCCTCTCATTACAGATATCCCCTTGGGGATGACATCTTTGACAGCTAGCAAGGCAACATGCTGCTGCTGCTGAAAGACAGCTGCAGTTGAGGGAGGACCGAGAGCAGATGGATCTGTCCAGGCCAGTTCATAACTAGACAAGTGAGAAAGCTTGTTTACTGACTCACCAATATTTACCATTAAGATGAAGATTTATAGTTTAATTTAGATAAAAGGCTTTAGGAAAATCAGAATGGGTAGGCAGCTTTTAAAAGTATTTTTAAAATGATAATAGATGTTGATTGTTTACAGGGTCTGCCAACCACTGTAAACGTAAAATAAATACTTATTTTTACAATATTATGGTTTGGATATTGTCTTTGCGTATTCTTATAAGGGAGAAAAAAAAGCCCCAGGATATTTGTTTGCAGTTTTGTTTTGTTTTCTTAAAAGATGCTACTTAAGACATACTTAGGAGACTAAGGTGCGCCTGATACAGGCCATGGTCTTTGCAATCACATGTTATGCATCAGAGAGTTGGACAATGACCAAGGAGGATAGATAGAAGGAGAATTGATGCCTTTGAGCTGTGGTGCTAGAGAAGAGTATTGAATGTCCCCTGGACTGCTAAGAAAACAGATTCATTCTGGAGAGGGTTAAACCAGGCTGCTCCTTGGAGGCAAGGATTCTGGGACTTTCTTTGGACATGTTGTAAGGAGGGACAGGTCTTTGGAGAGGGACACCATGCTTGGGAGGGTGGAGGGACAGCGCAGGAGGGGAAGGCCCTCTATGAGGTGGATTGATTCAGTGACTGGGGCAATCGGGATGGGTGTGTAAGAGGCAATGCGATTGGCACAGGATAGAGCAGGGTTTAGGGCCGTTGTACATAGGGTTGCTATGAGTCGCAAACACCTCGACAGCACATATCAACAATAACAACTTAGGACATCATCTTTTAGATCTACTTTTGGCAAAATTTCTCAGAATTGAGAATCAGCTGACACCAGTTGAGCCTCTGAGCCTGCTTTCACCAAAAGTGTATTTTAAATCACAGATTTCTATTATCGCACTCATAGAAGTTCCAAAAGCCAGTGCTGGTTAGAGGTCCATTCCTGCTGAAGTCTTCTCCCGGTCTCTAGGAAGGGCACCTGACTGGAGACTTGAGGCTTCCTTCTGCCAAAGAGGGAGAGCCTAAGGGGACGCCTTTCACAGTTCCTCACCCTTTTCCAAATGGTTGGCTCTAGAGTTCAGTCAAATCATGGGCAACCAACAGTCTGTTGGTATGTCTATCTCATTGGGAAACATTATTGGCATGCATCTTGGTGGCCACCCAAGGGTGCCTTTGACTATGGCATATGTGCCAGTCTAGATAATTTCAGCGGTCTCCTAAGTGGTCAGAAGTCTCTTCTGTTCAGTCCACTTTTGCTCGCAGGACACAACCCACCCTATGTACTTCCTGTTCCCTTTCACAAATCCTTTTAGTCCCTCTGCTCCCCCACCCAATCCTGTATCCCTGGAGTCTTTACTATGTGGAGACCCTGTGGACCCTGCAGGCCATGCTCCATGTCCTTGTGTGGACATCGCCCATGCACTCACTCTTTGTCCCCACCCAGCTACTCCCTATCAGCCCTTTCTTCCAGAAACTGCTCCACTCCCTCCCCATATACAAAGTTTGTATACATTGTTTTTCCACACTAGATCTTTCCCATTTCCTTTACCCACCCCTCCCTCAACCCATCAAATTGAGTGGTCTATGGTTACCCCTCTGCCCTGCCTGTTCTTTCTTCCCCCACTTGGATCCTCATCACCTTTTACTAGTTAAATCTATTTCTACAATCAGTCTTATAAAGTACTTGTCCATGTGGAACTGAGTTCATTCCCTCAGCATAATGCTCCCCAGTCCCTCCCAAGTTAGGTAGTATTTTCAGAATCATTACTCCTGCGTGCTGCGTAGTATTCCGTTGTATGAACGTACCATAATTTCTCGATCACTTCGCTTGTGGTAATACATTTTGGCTGTTTCTATGTTCTTGCAATGGTGAATGACGCTGCTATGAACATGGGAGTAAAAAAAAAAAAAAACCTCTCCATTTTTGTCACAGTTCTCCTTTTCTCAGGGTACTGCTAAGAAAACAGATTCATCCTGGAAAGGGTTAAACTGGGTGGCTCCTTGGAGGCAAAGATTCTGAGGCTCCGTCTAACATACTTTGGACATGTTGTGAGGAGAGACTGGTCCTTGGAGAAGGACATCATGCTTCGTAGGGTGGAGGGACAGTGCAGGAGGGGAAGGCCCTCTATGAGGTGGACTGATTCAGTGACTGGGATAATCGGGATGGGAGTGTCAGAGACAGTGCGATTGACACAGGACAGAGCAGAGTATAGGGCTGTTGTACATACGGTCGCTATGAGTCGCAAGTGACTCGACGGCACATAACAACAACAACAACATATTCCAAGCAGTGGAATAACTGGGTCATAGGGAATTTCTATGTTCAGCTCTTTGCGGAAACACCAAACTGCCTTCCAGAGTGGTTGTTACCATTTAACAGTCCCACCAAAGGTGTATGAGAGTTCCAGTATCTCCACATCCTCTCCAACATTTATTAGCACAGTGCTTTTAACTTATCTGGCCCGTCCCTCATGCTTCTGGCTGCACCCCATGGATACATAAATGACACACATATTGCTGTGGTTACATACGGGAAGCCCTAGCTTCCTACTAGACCTCCTCAGGCGAAGTACTGGAACACATTAACACAAAGAACTCCTAAAACCCTTAAACTGGAGTAATAATGTGTCAACCTTAGTATTCCACTTTCTGTGTACCCAGTGTCACTCACTGGGGTGTAGACAGCGTGTCCCTGGTTCCAGTGGCACCTGCTGCACTAGGAGCAGGCTGGGCAACTCCACAAGGTTTCATTCCTCACCTCGCCTTCCTCCAGCAGGCAGCTGGCCTCTCCTCTAGCACCACTTCCCTCATGCCAGTTTTTAAATTGCACCCACCTCTTCTCTAACCCTCTTGTAATTCCCCATGAACCCTAATCCTGGTGCCCCTCACAACTTTCTCAATGCAGAAAGCAATTACCCTCCCAAAACTGAACAGCTTGCTTCAACAAGGTGACTGACTGCACCTTCAGCTCTCTTTTCTCTCTGTCCTCAATAGTACATATGCACTCAGTCAACCCAGCTGCCTTCCATCCAGTCATTTCAGCTGTTGTGGCCACCATTTCAGCACTGGCCCGATGGGCGGCTTTGCTTACCATGAGGAAACTCCGTGACTTATAGTGAGGACTGAACGATTCACTGACAAAGCCAGTGCGCTGTCTGGTCTCTACCTCTCTCTCAGCTTTAGCTTTTTTCTAACAGAACAAGGTGGGAGTATGTGTACTTACAAATAAGAGTTGTTGCATATAAATAAATAATTCGGGCACAGTTGAAACTAATATTAATATATGACCAAGCAGTAAAGGGTGATTTTTTTTTAATTAATAGAACTTACTTGGCTACGCCCTCTGATAAACCCCTTAGTTATCTATTCCTAAGTCTTACATTTGGACCACACATCTTAAAAGTTTTCCTCAATATTCTAAACAGAATCGAAGCCTTTCCCAACCAGACCATGGGACAATTCCTGTTAACCAGCTTTCAGTATCAATCAGTTCCACCTGGGCCCCTTAGACATAAAACCCCCTTCCCTGGCTTCACCCCATTTCAGCAGGAAATAAGTTTTTTTAGGTCTTTGCCCTTCCGTCTCTTCTTTAATTTAGGAATAAAAGGTTAAAAACAAAGGGATTCCACTTTTCTGACCTTCTGTACCTCAGTGTGTTCCAGGAAATCATCTGATTAGTGTTACCCCTAGACTGTGTTTTATCACCCACTCCAGGAGATAAAACAAGGAGTGCTGGAATAATGGAAAATGGCCCCAGGCCCTTCATAGTGCTGAAGCCACCCAGTGGTAGTGTACCATCAGCCTGGAACCGGCCCAGAGTTGCTGACCTGCAGAAGCAGTTGATCACGGAGATTGTCCATCCTCCCTCAGAGCTGCAGATGAATTTGAACTGCAGACCTTCAGGATTGCAGCACAGTTTCCTACCCCAACCAGCAGAATGGATAAATACCCTACTCCTTCTTTGTTTGGGGCTGACGTCAGTTGAGCCTCAGCCCACTTTCACCAATGTGCATATTTTAAATAAAGCATATTTGCGTTAAAAAACACCACCAACTCAGAATCTTTGAAGCCCTTGATGAGATTCTAGACTATGTAACTGAAGAATTTTCTTTCCTTTTTAACATTGTGGTGGTGTGCAGCGTAGAGTACCAATCCATAGTTGACCCTCTGGTGTGTTTTCAGAGGTAGTTAACTGCAAGGGAGAAGACTGCCCATCCTTTTGTGAAACATCTGGTGGATTCGAACCTTGAGCCTTTGCGATCGCAGTGCAGATTCTAGCCACTAGGCTACCAGAGCTCCCTCTTCTTAACATTAGCCATTTGGAGAAGTGGTTCTCAATTCCGTTTTCCGAGGCTATTATTTAGAGGACTTTTAAGAAAAAGCTCCAGGTCCCCAGATGCCATGCCAGCTCTGCAGAACAGAAGCAAGCAGGACTGGGTGAGTTGGCCAGCTTGTTCCGGGCGGGCCTTTGCATTCTGCAGCTCAGCCTGAGTGCAGGGCCTGCCGGGACCTGTCATCACTGTCTGCCTTGACACTTGATTTATGCTCTCATGTCCTGTTAAGTACCTCTGTAGTTCTCGGGAATAAGGAGGGTGAGGCCCAGTGACAACTGAACTAATTTATGCCGAAGTTAGGAAGGTTTTTTTTTTTTCTATTTACGTGGCTTGAGTCACTTGAAAATGTTCTTAAAATATTAGGTCTTATAACATTTGTTTTAATAGCAATAGTATGCAAATAAGACATGGGGACAGTGCAGGCAGCTTGCACTCAACTGCAGAAGGCTGCCGGCTCCCGCCATCCAGCAGGGTCTTGGGGACCGCTTTCCACGGAGACTCCAGCCCAGGAGCCCCGAGGAGTTGGGCTCTGGGACACGTGCCTCACTCGCTGCCAGTGGTGACAGCCAACTGTCTTTTATTCTGCAGCAGAAGACACCGTTTTAAAGCACATCTGTGTCTGTGGCTGTAAGTACACACATGAATAATGTATAGCTATATTATTTAAAACAAATACCCTAAAGCTTTTTAAAAGAAGTTTATTTCTCAAGAGTTTGTTTTATACTGATTTTATATAGCCTAAAATGTATTGAAAAATAGACCAATTTTCTTAGAAAGAAAACCAGAGGTTTTCCCCACCACTAACACTTAATGTAATTTTTTTTACATTAGTCAAGTACATTATTTTTACTAAATGACATCATATCCCACTCATCTATGATTAATTTTTTTAAAAAATACCACTGTCACATAAGATTTTCTTTCTTTTTTAAAAAAAAACAAACAACAAAAACCTCAAGAGATTATATTCTAGGCTAAGATTCATTTAAATTTCTGGTTTAAACACTAGGTAAAGGAACCTAATAGTTCAAACCTAATAGTCAAAAAACAATCCCCAGCAGTAATTACAAAAGCTGCTACAGCACCTTAGAAAGCGCTCAACCCTGAGAGCAGGGAGTGTCCTGAGGGGCGTTCGCTCACCACACTGCGAGAGGTTAGAGTATTTACACCATTCTAAAAACAGCTTAAACTGTTACAGTGCTACACATTTTTTCAAGGAAAAAGAATAGATTAAGTTTCCTTAGTGTTCTGGAAGGAAGTAAGATTGCCTTTAAAAAAAATATGTATCTATCTTTAACTAGCGGTTTGCTGATCTCTGTTCTGAAGTTTTAAATTCCAACAAAGCACTGCTTTGCAAAAGGTCCTTTGGCCCAAGTTCAGCGTCTCTGTTTTGATCTCTTTGTAAAAGGACTCTCTGTTCATCCATTCTTTTTGCCTGAGACCGTAAAATAAGGCTGAAAAAGTCCTCGTCTGGTACAGTTGGCCCCTTTGTGGCAGCAGGTGGTGGAGCACATCTCTGATCATCTAATCTGGACCCCTAGAGAGTGAAGAGAAGGGGATTAAAACAAAATTACAGCCAAGGGCAGCACCAACCACAGGAGGGCTGTCATTCACACCAAGAAAATACAGCATTTAACCGTTAACATTTCTTTCTTTTTTTTAACTTCTAGAAAGTTTATCTTTAGACCGGAAACCCAGTAAACACAATTTTCCTCAAAATGTCCTATTTAATCATAAGCTCACTAATATTATGAAAAAGGAGAATCATCATTTCTTGGGTACAGGAAGTACTAAGGTAAACTGGATTTCCTTCTGTTGCACATGGGTTTGCGATAAATGGGAGGCAACTTGATGGTATCCAATGATGATTTTATTTATAATCTGTCACAAAGGCATAATATGGGCTTAATGGAAATGTAAGGTCAACTATGTCCAGTGTGACGTTTTAAGACTAATAATGCCATGTAACTGTATGTTGTTGATGCTGCGTTAGCGACCCTACCGGATGAAAGAGAACTGCTCCCTAGAGTTTCCTGGGCTGTGATCGTTATGGAAGTGGACCACCAGTCTTTTTTACTGCAGAACTGCTGGTGAGTTTGAACCACTAACCTTTTAGCAACCAGTCTAGAAAGTAACCACACATATACATAGGGAACTAACATGAAAAGGGGTGGTGTGCTTTGAAAAACCTGTATAGTATGCATTATTTATGTACAAAGGTGACAACTCAATAAATAAGGGCCTTTGGTGCATGGTGATGCCATGTGAGGCTGCTAACCAACCTGAATCTATCAGCTGCTTCACAGGCTAACTGGCGGTCTCCTCCCATAAAGACTGACAGCCTCAGAAACATGATTGAGGACAGCCACGGGCTGCGAAGCCGTGAATTTTGAGTTTACCTATAAATATTGTCTGTTCTGTAAAGTTTTAATGGATCACAGCCATCCTCAGTCTCTGGCTACTTTCCCACTGCAGTGGCAGAAGTGAGCAGCTGTGATAAGAGACTGCATGTTGTGCAAAGCCTAAAATATTTACTCTTTGCCATCAGGTTAGAACCATTTCCTAACTGAGCCACCAGTGGCTCGTGGAGGCTGTCACTAGCACAGGCGACTGCTCAGCTTTCTCCTGTGGCGGCTGGTACAGTAGAGCCGAGAGCTGCCCAGCCTGCAGGTTATCAGTGCAAGTTCCAATGGAATGTGCCATCACACAGCTAAGTCTACCAAGAAAATCACCCAGATGGAATTTTTTCTTTTAATATCTTGTTTGTATGACTCTTATTTTAGAAGTATATGAAGATGTATGTCATTAACTATAATGACATACATTAATTAATGAGTCCTAGTTGCCAACTAGGTCAGAAGTTGCTCTGCCAACCCAAAGGCAGGTGGGTTGAACCCACCAGCTACTCTGTATGAAAAAGATGGGCAGGCTCCTCCCATGTGATTTACAACCTCTGAGAACCTTTGCAGTGGGTCAGCTATGAGTCAGTTTTAACTCAAACGCGATGAGAGGTGGGGTTTGGTGTTTTTTTTGTTTGTTTGTTTTACGAAGAATTAGTATATAAATTATAAATACATATGTGTGTCTGATACAGGCCATGGTCTTTGCTATCACTTGTTATGCATCAGAGAGTTGGACAATGACTAAGGAAGATAGAAAGAGAATTGATGCCTTTGAGCTGTGATGCTGGAGAAGAGTATTGAGGGTACCATGGACTGCTAGGAAAACAAACAGATTCATCCTGGAGAGGGTTAAATCGGGTGGCTCCCTGCAGGCAAGGATTCTAAGGCTCCATCTAACATACTCTGAACATGTTGTAAGGAGGGACAGGTCCTTAGAGAAGGACATCATGCTTGGGAGGGTGGAGGGACAGCGCAGGAGGGGAAGACCCTCTGTGAGGTGGATTGATTCAGTGACTGGGGTAATCGGGATGGGTGTGTCAGAGACAGTGCGACTGGCACAGGACAGAGCAGGGTTTAGGGCTGTTGTACATAGGGTCGCTATGAGTCGCAAGTGACTCGACGGCACATAACAACAACAACAACACATATTTAGGTTTGTTGTTAAGTGCTGTCAAGTCATAGGTGACTCACAGCGACCCTATGAACAAAAGACCTTTCTCCGGATATTTAGTCTTAGTAGTTTTGAATTTTTGGAAGATGGCATAAACCATTCTGCTTTTTTCTAGAAATACAAAGAAATATCATGCTTAACTCTGAGGGACTCTTAACAGGGGAGCAGAGGAAAAGAGCACGGAGCTGCAGACAGGTGCATTCAGGGATAATGAAGTAATAATAAAAAGTGGAATACCTTAAACATAAAGAACCAAGGGAAATCACAAACAGTGGAGAGGAAGGAAACATAATGTACAAGTAAAATGAGGATTAAAAAAAGAGTCTGAAACAGAAAGAGACAATAACTGAAATGAGAAACATGATAGAAAGACCAACAGATTAAATCAGGTATAAGTGAGAATCAGTGAGTTAGAAGACACTGGAAAGAAAAGAGAGGCTCAAGAAGGCTGAGCACATTTTAAGGGGATCGTGTGATGATAACAAGAGGTGTGTGTGAGGACTGTACCCACGATCCATACTTTCTCAGTCTGTATGCTGGGCAAATAATTTGAGAAGCTGAACCATAAGAAGAGTGTGGCATCAGGATTGGAGGAAAACTCAACTATGTACATACATTATGCAGTTTACACAACCTTGCTGAAAGAGTTGAAATACGTGCTGCAGAAGATCAAGGACTGCAGCCTTCAATATGTATTACATCTCAAGGGTGTGCTCAGAGCAGGGGACCTGAAGGGTGATCCCTCTGTTTACAAAACACCCCACAGCAATCAGGGCTCCTTGTGACCAGGCAGCCAGCAGTTTGTGGCCGGCCTGGTAACAATTACCCTACATGTTAAAAAAAAAAAAGTATTACATCTTAACATCAAAAAGAAAAATCCTTACACTTAGGCCAATAGATAGCATCATGATAAAGGAGAAAAGATTGAGGTTATCAACAATTTTGTCTTATTTGGATCCACACCTTTGGCACCAGCAGTCAAGAAGTCAGAAGCTGGGTTGTACTGGGAAAGTCTTGCTGTCAAGGACCTCTCCAAGGTTCTAAGGAGCAATGATGTTGGTTTAAAGATTAAGGTGCACTTGATTCAAACCATGGTCTCTCAATTACTTGCAATGTATCTGAGAATAGGATAATGAATAAGGATGGCAGAAGAAAACCGATACCTTTGAGTTGTGGTGTTTTAGGAAATTACTGACTATCCCATGAACTGTCAAGAGAACACACAAATGTATTTTGGAGAAAGGGCAATCAGGGTTATCCTTGGAGCTGAGAACAACAAAGCTTTGCCTCAGATACTTTGGGTGTGTTGTTAGGAGTGGTCAGTCCCTGCAAAGGACATCACATTTGGAAAGATGGAGGGTCAGTAAACAAGAGGAAAACTTTCAGGGAAGGTGGACAGATGCAGTGACTATAACAATGGGCTCAAGTATATCAGAGATGATAAAGACAGTGCAGGATAGGGCAGGGCTCCCAATTGCTGTTCCTAGGGCCACTATGAGTCATACTTGACTCAACAGCACCTAACACAGCAAGAGACCCAATATACATATCACTAGAGAAAGGGACATGCGAAGGTTAATACTGTGTGCCAGTGTTGTTGCCATGATCCTCAGTATAACGGTCCTATGTTATAAATTCTAAGTTTAGGTCTTTTGTGCAAAACTTGCTCTCAGTCGTATTTGACATAATGACACTTAACCACTGCTAAATGAAACTAGTGCTGTTATATCTGGAGGAACACTCTTCCACTTTATACATAACTCTGCCAATGTGCAGTATGAAGTAATTTGGGTTTGCTATGATGCTGACTCTTGTACCACTGGGGTATCAAATACCAGAATGGTTTCCCATTGCGGACAGTGTTTGGTGAAGCTTCTAGTTGTAAAACAGGTTTGGAAGCAGGAGTGGCATCCACTTCCTAAACCGCATGCCTCTGGAAACTCTGTGAACTTGGAGAAATGACGATAGGTGATCTAGTGTTAAGGAATTGTGTGGTCACCTACAGGCATGTGGTTCGAATCTGCCAGCTGTCCTGTGGGAGAAAGATGGGCAGTCTCCTCCTGTGCCATTAACTGCCATTAAAAACCCACTGGAGGGTCAGCTATAAATTGGTCCTGACTCAAGGGTACTTAGCAACAACAATGATATTAAAAAAGCAGGATTGCAAGTAGATCTGTAAAGATGACTTAAGGTGCACTGGGGGCATCTGGGCTGGTAACTGAAAGGTCAGTTGTGCAACTCCACCAACCACTCCAATCGAGAAAGATGGAGAAAGATATGATTAACCTTCTCTGGTTAAGGTAGGTCTTTTAGGGTGTGGTTTGCATTGGCATTTATGTTTGAATTCTGGGTGAAAGCTAGAGAGCTTTTGGTCAAATCTGCATTTTAAGATCTTTTCTGAAGCACAATGCCGTGATTGGCAGGCTATTATTCGTACACATACAAAGACGATATATTAATACAATTACTATTCAAATATATGCACCAACCATTAAAACCAAAGATTAAAAAACTAAGGACTTCTACTGAATTATGCAGTATAAAACTGATTGAACTTGCACTCAAGATACAGTAATAATAACTGGTGACTGGAATGCAAGACAAAGAAGACAGACTGGTTGTTGGAAAATACAGACTTGGTGACAGAAGTGAGGATGGAGATTGAATGACTAAATTTTGTACAATCATTGATTTTTTTCATTATAAATACCTTTTTAGAAACCATAAATGCTGACTATACACAGGATCTCACCTGACGGCCTACACTGGATCTGACTACATCTACAGAGAGAGGTGGTGGAGCAGCTCAGCATTAACAGTTAAAACCGGGCCAGGAATTGACTGTAGAAGATTTCTCACGTGCAAGTTCAACATGAAGGTGAACTTCCCCTTAGGGTTTCCAAGGCTGTGTATCTTTTTGGGAACAGCTGGTGGGTTTGAAATGCCAGTCCTATGGTTAGTACTCAGTGCTTAGCCTACAGCAATCCCAGGGCTTCTAAGTCAATAACAAAACCCAAAAAGTCCAATAGCAAAAAATTTGACTTATGGTGACTCTCCATTGGGTTTTCAAGGCTATATATATTTTTTCTCCTTTAGAATTATTTTATTAAATCATAAACATACAATAGCTTCTTTACATACACACTTAAATTTTTTTAAAGGAAAATGTTGTATCTTCTTATACCAAGGCGACCTCATCTCTCATCCTTCCCAAAAAGCAGCCAGTGGGTTCATGTAAGTGGTGACCTTCTGGTTAGCAGCCTGGCATACAGAGGCACCAGGACACCAAGGTTCTGTGCACCAGTTACAAGAGACTCTCAACAGCATCCACTTCCTAAATAACTTGCCTCCAGAAACTCTATGAACTTTGGTAAATGTCAGTAATTATAGAACAGCTTCAGGCCTTTTGTTCACAGGGTCACTGTGAGTCGTGCTCGACTCAAAGGCAATCAACAACAACAACAACAACAATAGAAAATGAGTCCCTGTAACCACAATAACAAAAAAACGGCAATAATACCAAAATGCTCACTGGCATGTGAGCAGTATATGGAATGAAAAAAATATGAGAACATACTTGACATTTCACGAGGATGTCAAAGAAGTCTTCATCAGGCTCTTTACTGCTATTAGTCATCAGGTGGCCCAGCACAGACGGACTGTTGTTTTTTGTCAGATGAAGCCCTGGCAAATTACTGAAACTGGCCCTCTGGTCATCCAGACGGCGGCTCTGTGAGCTGGCAAGAAGATCCAAAAATTCGTCTGTGTTGGGGGACACCACAGAAACAGAAGGTGCTATGAAGAAATGGAAGAAAACAAACCCAAAACATCATTACAAAAGCTTTCTTTTTGAATTTTTTAAAAAATTCATTCTTGCACATTTTCTTCCCTCACCCCCAGCCCACCCCGCATGCACCCCTTGTAGATTACTGTCATACATGTAATGCCTAATCAAATACTCCTTTTGTACAGTTCTTCTCCTTATCTGTTCTAATGCAGTGTTCATTATCTACTCACCCTTTTCCCATACCCTCCTCAGCCCTCCCCCACACCGCCCCCTATCTGCCCCATTTTATAACAGCAGTGTTATGCAGTATTTGTCCTTTTGAGACTGAGATATTTCAGTCATCATCTCATTCACTCAGCACATCATTTCATAATGTTCTCCAGGCTCTCTCATGTTGTCTAATGTTTTAAGAGTTTGGTTTTTTTCCAGTGCTGTATAATATTCAGTTGTGTGAATGTACCATAGTTTTTCTATCCATGAATTTGTTGATGGGCACTTGGGTTGCTTCCCTCTCTTTGCTATTGGGAATAATGCAGCAATAAACACGGGTGTGCATATATGTGTTCGAGTCATGGCTCTAGTTTCTTTAGGGTATATTCCCAGTAGTAGGATTGCTGAGTCAAATGGTATTTCTATTTCAATCTCTCCACAACCTCGCCAGCGTTTGTTATCTACTGCCCTGTTGAACTTTGCTCTTGTTGCTGGGGTAAGATGATATCTCATAGCTGTTTATTATTAAAGTTTTTAGGCTCATCTTTCATATGCATGTAATTCTTTTTGCCTTGTTCAGCTCTGAAACTTGATCTGTCCTCGTGTTTGAGCTGTCACTGACAGGAGTCACTAGTAGAAGGTGACCAGATGAGCAGGTGAGGTTTTTCTGAAGGAGAAGAATGAACTTCAGTGTATTTTAATCACCCACTTAGAGGTTACTCACATCCAACTATGTAGTTCTCTTTATAGAGCGCCCACTCAAGATGAACTATAAGATACAGAGTTAGACTTAGAAAAGCAAACCAGTTTTCTTAGTTTTTCAGATGAAGGTGAACAGGACAGTGTTTTTTATTTCATGTCCTGCACAGGAATTATTTAATAGGTTAAACTTGGAAGTAAGTGAAGCTGACAAGTAGCAGTTGACAAGTGGTAGTGGAAAACTGCTGGTAACTAAAATAAGTGACCTGGTTTAGGTCTTTCGGAGGATCAGGCAGGCTTGAACTGATTTTAAGGCTCAAATATTGCTGAACTGCTGTTGCTTTCATCACGGCAAGCCCGTGTGTGACAGAGCAGAATAGCTCTGTGGAGTAATCCTGCTATGTCTTTTTGTTTGTTCGGTCACTTTTCATTGTTTATAGTGTTTGTGTGTGAGTCTCTCATTTTCTCTTCTCCCTCCTTCACTTTCACTTCCTCCTTTCCCATGATGAGTTCTGAATTCTCAAAGAAAAAAAATGACAAGATCATCAGAGAGAACTGGTAAAATTGAGGGAGAAGCGCAGATAACTTACTTTTTAGCATCATTTTGTGGGGAGTGGAAGAAGCTGCTGTTGAAGCTGTTTGGCATTTCTTCTCTTGTAAGCAACACCGCTGATCGTCCATCCTGTTGCTTTGAAACCGGCTTAGTAAGTCAAAGAACCCTTCGTCTCCAATGGTGTCTGCGCTAATTTTCTAAAATGTTGAGAGAAAAATCTAGTACACTTAAAAATTCCAGCATTATTCTGAGGTCATCAATGGGACAAAAAGATCATGCATTCAAGATGCAAAAAATGAGTGAAAATGAAAAAATGAAAAACTGACTCATTTTAAAAGAATACTGCGAGACTGCAAAATTAGTAATAAAAAGACAATTATAATTTCAACCCAACTAATAAAAGGTCTTTTTTGTTGTTTTTATTTTTAAGTGCTATACTTTAAAGGCCAAAGGTTCTTCAGACTCTGAAGAACCACAACAGATAATGACTCATGAATTATACAAATATTAGCGAGATAGGCATGTGTCTCAATTTGAAAGTTCAGTGCTAAGATTCTGTAACAAAATAAATGAGCTGATACTTCTTCTAACTGGTAAAGCAAGTATATTCTCCTAGCATAGCAATTCTTAAGGTTTTTACTATGAAAACATAAAAATCCAGAAAAATGCAAACTATAAATAAACAAACATCTGGGGAAATAACCTGTCATATTGTAGATGGAAGGATTAAGATGATGAATAGAATATTCAATAAAAGCAAGTCTTTCTGATAATATTAGGAGTATAAAAATAGAAGTACATGCAGTATATACATACATCCATACATACAATTATACAGTGGGATCAAGAAAGCTGAGCAAAGCTTAATGAAATTGTAAAACACAGACAACAGAACTAATACATGTAACATAAATGCCAAAGAAAAGAAAAAGGTTTTTAAAGCACAGCAAACCCTAAATAGTATAAGTCTCAAAACACCAAGATACATTCTAATTTATACTCTTGAAATAACTGTTTTGAGTTTTGAAGAAGATTTGAGGAGAGGGTTAAAATACACATTTCATTGCATTAATAAGATCCTTTCTATTAAATGTCAAATGTGAATTATGAAGCTATAAAAAATGGAATATAAAATAAAGAGTAAAAAACAATGTAAAATGAAAACTTAAGTACTCAAAATTATGTTAAAAAACGGATTTCAAACATACCCTCTGTGAACTTGAAATTCGGTGGTCAATGGAGTTACTGGCATCTTGAAGAACTTTCGTGGAAGAGTTAGTCTTATATTTTTTCCCCTTCAATCTGTTAACAAAAAGTAGCTTTGCAGAAGGTTTGGCAACAAGAGGTTTTTGTTTAGCAAGAATTTCACTGTTCCAGTTCTGTATCTACAAATTTTAAACACAAATGGAGAAAGCAGAGCGTGAAAAAAAACAACAACAAAGCTCCTTCTGCTGTCCTAACATATTAAAGTGATGTCTTTATTCATTTAGGGAAGGAAATAATAATAATAATAATAGATTATTTTTGCCACTATTTTCAGTAGATGATACCACATGGGTGTTGTTGATTGCTCACTATCAAATTGTTAACGTGATGACCCTGTAAAATTGAAGAATACAGCACAGAAAGTTTACCAAAACCCTACAAAAAGAAAATTTGAATGTTCAGAGGAGTATGTTTTGATTTGAATGTGAGTTACTTAAAATCTATAATAACTATAGAAATTAAAAATTAACATCTCAAACTTATTTATGTAACAACAGTAATCTTTCTCTTGATAAAACTATAAATTGTTTTCACTGACATCATATTAAATTCTCAATATACAAACCATTCAGTCAACAACAACTACAGTCTAGAGCTGATTTTGAGGAGCCTTGGTGGCACAGTGGTTAAGCATCTGGCTGCTACCTCACAGGTGGATGGTTGGGACTCACCAGCCCATCTGCGAGAGAGAGAGGACACAGGCTGCTTCTGTGAAGACCACAGCTCTGAGGCCCTCGAGTGGCAGCTCCACTCTGTCTTCTGTATATGGTGACTGTGAGTCTGAACCAGCGTGAAGGAAAGCCAAGTCCATTTTTTATGGATAAAATTTACATACAGTCAAATGCACAGTTTAAAGTGTATTGTTGGAAGCCATGTAACTCCTACATCCAGGAGATGCAGAACATTTCCTGGTCTTTTATTAATAAAAAAAACCAACCAAAACAAAACCACAAACAAAACATGCACCTGGTAAACATCCAAACAGATCAACAAATTGATACATATTTTTCTCAACTCAGAGATCCAGTCCTCTTTCTAGATATAATCACTGTGAGGTGTCTCACTTATCTTCCCAGAGATATTTTATGTATATATAGTTCCTAAACAGAAGGCAGCATACTGTATATAATTTTTGGTATCTTTCCCCCTCATTCCTGATTCTATTGAAAGGTAAAATTTTAAGTGATGCCTACAGAAGTCAAGGCTTATTACTATTACATTTATTATATGTTATATTATTAAGCTTAACTATTTAAAGTCAAAGTCAGTGAAATATGATAATTTCCAAAATTTAAAACATAAAAATTGCCAACCTTTTCTGGTGTTAACTTCATAAGTTCCATGTTTTCCATACTGTGTCGGCGTCCCAACTTGGGGCGTGCACCTTTGTTGAAGAAAAAAAAATTAAATAAACTAGGAGGTCCTTAAGATTACAAAATCAGCATTGCTATGCCAGACCATTCTAAAGATTTATAGAGAAATCCTTATGGAAAGAGGAAACATGTACAAAGTGGAAGAAAACAATTTATATTCTTCTGGTTTGGAACTCTTAAGAATAACAGTTTTCCATACCAATTACATAAAAATAGAATGTTCACTCCCTTTAGCATGCTCTGATTTAAGGATGTCCCATTTTGGCTGGAAACTAACACTGGTAACTAACCTCACCCCTTAATTTAGAAAGAGTATTTTATAATAACTGGTTTTATACTACAGACACAGTCTTTCTTTTTTTTTTTTATATTGTAGAGTGGTTTAAGTAAGTGAAAACATAAGGAAAAGGGCTAGGCCTTTAATTTTGAAAAAAGAATCAAAATACTATTCCCAGTACCATACTGTTACTTTCCCCCCTTATTTTGTTAATTGTTGCACATTTTCTCCCTTCTCCCCCAGCTCAGCCTGCAATTCATCCCTTATTCCAAATTATCCTCATATATATAATGCATGATAATACATTATATGTATATACATATAATACATAATAATCCTTTTTTCCCCTCACCTATTCTAATCCATATTGTTACTTTTTTTAAAGTTACCCATTTCCATTTTAAAATCTCAAATGATGGCACATTTTCTACTAGGCAGGAAACAAAGTAAAATCCTAATTTTTTTCAGTAAAATTAACATTAAACAAAAAAACCTTAATATCCATTCAATATTTAAAAAAATAAACCATATTTAAGAATGCATAATATAAGGACTACATTTGTCTTTATCTATATAACACATCCAGTTTGAGAAATCTTGCCAACACATTAAATCCTCCTGTGTAACTCATAGCCTTTCCTCTCAAATATTTTTTTTAAATGCTTCATGAATTTTTGTGTCATCCTTGTGCAGAGGCCATGCTAATCTTCTCGGTATTGTCCCAATTTCAGTAGTATATATGCCACTGAAATGAGCTCTCCTCTCTAACTACTATATATTTTCAAGATATATGAATATATCTGTGAGCAATAAGGCATACTTTGCATGTTCGAAACTTTAAATTATTCATTCTGCTGGTGAGAGGATGACAAAAGAATCGATGCCTTTGAGTTGTGTGTTAGAGAAGAGTCCTGACTATCCCCTGGACTTCAAGAGAACAAACACGTCTGTCTTGGAGGGAGTATAACCAGGGTGCTCCGTAGAGGCAAAGACGGTGAAACTTCAGTTCACACACTTGGGGAAGGAAGATTGTCAGGCGGGGCCAGTCCTTGGAAAATGACATCATGCAGCAAAAGGTGAAGAATCATACAGAGATGGAGACCCTCAACAAGATGAACTGACAGCGCGACTGTCACCGTGGGCCTGAGCATGTCAGAGATCACGAGGACGACACGGCAGAGGACAACGTTCAGATCTTTTCACAGGGCTGCTCTGAGTCACAGCTGGCTTGACGCCACCTAACAAATGGTCAGACACATTTAGATCACTTCCATTTTTTTTGCTATTATCAACATTAGCACTTTAGAAATTCTTGGAGACATGTCTTAGTGTGCATGTGTGAATAAGATTCTCCAGGTTATACAACTGAGAGTGTGAGTGATACTGGATTACAGGGTAGGTACATTTTCAACTTGACCAGATTACTAAATATTGTCAGTTTGGTCATTTGGGTATACCAGTATCTAGTTTCATCAGAACTACAGAACATTTTCCTCCATCAGTATCCTACATCACTTCAATATTGCTACTATCAGTTTTTAATTGCCTATTTCATGAGTGCTTCATATCATATCACTGTGGTTTAGGACGGACCATTTGTGTTGTTTATTCTGTTCATGATTTTTAAAAATATTATTTTGTGTGTGTGTACCGTCAAATCAGATCTGACTGGTACAAGAGGAGATAGTCCCTCCTTCTCCAGAAGAGCATCTGGTGGATATAAACTGCATACCTCTGGGATTGCAGTGCAGCTTCTTGCCACTAGGCCACAAGAGCTCACCTGTTCATTTTTAATTTTAATTTTTAATTTTAATTCTAGCTTTTAATTCACAGGAGTTTTTTCATGTTATAAACACAAACCCTTTTTAAGCCATGGCAAGTATCTTTTCTTGGATGATTTTATTTTTATAATTCTTTGGAAAAAAAGAAATTCTTATTTTCAGTGTCACTCTTTCTTTATGGCTTTCTTCTTCTGTCTTGAGAAAGCCTCTTCTATGTTTTCAAAATACAAGCCATAGTCTATTCAATAGCTCCTAGTAATGATACCAGGTACCCTTTGAGATACAGACTCCAAAGTCAGGCCACCAGTTGGGAAGTGCGGCCCCAGCATTCTTTTGCTATAAGACCTTTGGCAGTTCCTCATCTGTAAAGAATAACATTATTAACCTTAGACCACAATGTGAGGTAGAAAATGAGTAAATGCATCATTACGTATAAAGCCCCAGTGCTGGGTAAGTAGCAAACAGTAAGTGCTAGTCAATATAATTATTAATATTTAAATATCTTTCATAATTAAATACCCATCAAGAAGTTATTTTCACATCAAACATTAGTTTACAGATATGCAAATACAGGTTTTCTACTCCATTTCATTGGGGGGCTTTGATGGTGTGGTCTGGAGGTGCTGCTAATCCAAAGCCCCTGACTCTGGCAACTCGACCCCACCAGTGGCTTCATGGGACAGAGACGGGCAATTCTCTCTCATGCAGTTTCCAACCTTGGAAACCCAACAGGGGATCAGCTATGAGTTCTCCGATTTAACAACATAGAAAGAGTATTAATCAAGGATGACATTATATTAAGAACTCAGGTGGTAACAAAAAGTCTGACGTCCTGAAACTATGAGCTGTTCTGAGTGAAAAGACGACTCAGTGATCTGCTTCTGCAATGATGACAGCATGGGCAATGTTCCATTCTGTCCGACTGGGGCTCCAGGAGCTGCAGTGACCCGAGGGCACACAATTTCCAATCTCACAGTCTTCACTACAATAGCTTTAGAAAACGTTGTATTTGTAGTGATAGTGGTTCTCTTATTTTTCATCAGGAATGTTTTACCTACTGTCAAAACTCCCCCACTTCATAAATATTTGTAGGTGACCTCATCAAGCTCTACAAAGAGCTCCTGGGATTTGCTCAGGAGCGCACTGAATTGGTATCAAATGTTTTTTTTTTGGGGGGGGGTTTCTATAATTATATTTTATTAATTTTCATAAACATTTACAGAGATTTTGGGTTTCCATTCATTCATTGTTGCACTATTCTCTTTACCCTCCTCCCAGTTTGTTCTTGTCCAAATGCCACAGTGCTTGTCAAAGCCAGTTCTGATTAATCTTCTTTGTCAGTGTGTCCTTTGCCATTCCCTATCACTCCTCCCTGAGAGAGACTTCACCCTGAGTCATAAGGAAAAGGGGACGGCGTGTTCTCTTAGCTACTTCCTGCTGAAAAGGGACGCTGTGGGTTTCAGGGTGAAGATCTTCTCTCACTACCCTAAAGGGCCCCTTTGGCAGTAGGAAGCACATAGACTATTATGGAGATTGATTTTGGAATTTATGAATTGATATCAAATGTTAGTAAAATCAGCATCCTCTTAATAGTTTTCTGAGAAGAGCTTAACAGAACTATTAATTACTCAGAGAGATGCAGTACAATCTTCTATTACAGTCGAAGATTTTCCTATTCCTCATTTTAGTTCAGTCAGTTTTGTTTTCCGTATATTGACATTTTGTTATCATTAAATACACATTTGAAACTTTCATCTTCCTACTGAATTGCATTATTAACTACTGAGAAATACCACTTTGCAGTGACACCATCTCTAATAAGACCTTTGGTCTTACAGTATATTTTATCTGACATTAAGATAGTCCTACGAGCTCTTCTGGCTAGTTTTCACATATGCTTCCTCCCCGCCATCCTATTACCTCCAGACTTAGTATATATTTTGATGGTTTCTCTTGCAAGTAGTTTGTAGTTGGATTTTCCATTTTCGTCAGTCTAGTACTTTATCTTTTAAGTATAACATTTACTTCTAAATGTATATATTAGCAATGCTTTAGAGCTCTGGTACTGGAGAAGAGCACTGAATGTCCCGTGAACTGCCAAGAGAACAAACAAGTGTGTTTTGGTGAAAGTGCAACCAGGCTGCTCCTTGGAGACAAGGGTGGTGGAGTTTTGTCTCACATACTTTGGACATGTGGTTAGGAGAGGCTGGTCCTTGGAGAAGAACTTGAGGCCTAGAAAGGTAAAGGGTCAGTGCAAGACAAAGACCCATAAGAAGATGGATTAACACTGTGACAATGAGCTTAAAGGTACCAGGTGGTGAAGACACGCAGGACAGGGCAAGGTTCAGGCTTGCTGTGAATTGTACTAGACTTGATGGCACCTGACAACATCATTAACATTTACATTTAATAGAATGATTCATGAATTTGCATATTTGTGTCATTACCTCCACCAGAGTGTTTACTGGTGAACTGCACTGATGTTCAAATTTACTTGGATTCTTGCTTGTTGATTTTAAATACACTGCTGGGTTTAGGTTACTACTTTAACAAGGTTTGTTTTGTTTGTAATGTATACTCATGAATAAGACTGACCTGTGATTTCCTTTTTCTTGGATTGGGTTCATCAGGTTTATTAAGGTTAGGCTGAATTCAGAAAGACTGAGAGTATCCTATCTCTTGTAGTTATCTGCAGAGTTTTGTGCAAGGTTGGAATGAATTTTCTTGAACGCTTGAAACATCTTGTAAAACCATCTAAGCCAAATATTTTTTTACTGGGAAGACTTTTAAATGACCAATTCCTAAATGATTGTTAAATGACTAATTATTAGGCATTAAGTATATAATTCACATTATATTCTACTATTAACTTTTTCTATTGTTTCTTGATTCAAGTCCGTAAGTTCTTTTTCTAGAAATTGTCCATCTCTCTTGGCTTTCAAATATTTTATTA